AGAGATGCACCGAATTGGTTGTTGCGTACAACGCACAACATCATGTGTGCAGTAGAGCGGAAGGTCTACGCAAATGAGACAGACACATGTAGCTACTTTGATTTGAGCATTTTCCGGGGTAGTACAGTGGTGGAGATTTCCCTCGCCTGTCCCAGGGTGTAAGTAATCTGTCGAGCTTGGTCCTTTAAGAGGATAGCTGAAACTTCGAAACGGGAGTGGCGCGCGCGCCAATGGCCTTGGGATGGCATGGTAGTGTTTGGAGTGCCTGGTATGATAGGTGGTATATTCGAAAACTGGTGTTGCAATTGATCGGCAGGACTGCGGCGAGGGCTATGGATGAGAAACGCGTGTGCCTGACACGGCCAGGTGGTTTACTCATAGTCCTCGCTGTTTTACATCTTGCTCCGAATTGGTAAGGGTGATCCGATGGAAGTCATATCGAGGGCTTGGTGTCATTTGGGAGGGAGGAGTGCAGGAGTGGAGCAGCGCCATGGCCTCTGGGTTGTATAAGGAGTGCGCATCTCGTCGGTCTAATAGCGGCGTCAACCTCATCGCATCCTCTCCTCACTCTTCGCTTCACCTGAGCGATCAAGATGGTTCATTTCTCTGGTCTCACGGCGGTGCTGGCGCTTGCCTCCCTTGCGTCCGCTCAATGCGGTTCCGGCACTCCCGACGCAAAAGTTACCGGCTCCGGCAGCTCCTTCACCGCGACCAAGGGCTCGACAAACCTATACACCGGTTCCGACTACCGTCTAGCTATTCAACGCGCTCTCGATGGCATCAGCAGTGGACAGCGTGTATCCGTTATCGCATCCGGTAACATCGGCGCTAGCACCATCACCATCACGAGCGGAAAAACGTTTGAAGGCTGCGGAACCATCACTGCTGCCCCCAAGAGCGGAGGAGGAAACATCGAAGTGACCAACCAATCCGGTGTCAAGATCCCCTACCTCACCATGGCCGGCTCGACGTACTTCGGCATGCGCTTCTCTGGCACCAAAGACCTCACCCTAGGCACCATCAACTTCAACCTCAAGGAAGGAATGGGTATCCGTTTCGACCGCGACCGAGCGGCCAACACAAACGTCAAGATGGGCACCATCACCTGCAACGGCGGCACGTCGCACTGCGTTGAGACATGGTAAGAATATGACTGCACAAACTGCATGCAAGACATACGCTGACTTCAAATGCTCAGGAACATCGACAAGCTCGACATCGGCTCGGTCGTCGGCAAAAATGTCGGAGAATGCGGTCTTCTCCTCCAAAAGGTCACCAACGCGAAGGTCGGCACCGTGGACTGCGACAACTGCGGCGCTGGCACTGGCTACGCGGCTCTCCGTTTCGCCAACGAAGCCGGAAAGGTCAATGGCGGATACGGAACAAACATCTACGTCAACCGCGTCAAGGCTCGCGGTGGCGGCCGCGGCATCTTCTGTGTCTCTGCGTCTGGAGGTGCGGAGATCGGTACGATCGATGTCGCCAACACGGGCAACAACGCGATTTTGCTTGAGAACTGCTATAATGTCAACATCAAGGCTGGTACTGTAAGTGGTGGTGGTGAGGTTCGTCTCGCGGCCAGGACCGAGTTTGCGAACAGCAGGGACATTGCCATTGCGCTGAAGGTTGATGGAACCAGTGTGACGGAGAACCCGTGCACTGTCAATAAGACCAAATGGAGCCTCACCGGAAACGGGGCGAAGAAGATCTGCACATAGGTGCTTCCCTGTTTCCCCATTAGGAGCATCTCGCGGTGCTGACGGACGGATTTGGACGACGTGTAGCAACTTCATTGTATATATTAAAAATCTCGAGTACATATAAATCCTCCTTCTTAGGGACTTTCGAGCAGGCGATATGGTTTGTGATCCGAGCAGTCATGTTCGCGATAATAAAACGAAGTTGATGCGAAAGCTGGGTCGATGGCTGAAGTGGAACCTGAGATTGCATGACACAAATAGGCATATAGGCAGCGCAACGCGTCAAGTGCAGTGTAAGTTGTGCATCAGCTACCACTAGAAGGTCATACGCGCCAAGAACAGGCGAACAAATTCGTTGGGGCGAAGGCTTACGTGTGACCGAGATTACTGCTACCACATTAACCAACCGGCGTCAACTTTGAGTACCACAAGGCTGAGCGGGATGGTGTACCTCGCTTATTTCCCAAGCTCTGTTTCCAATGGGCTTCATCGCACAGATTGTAGTTGCGACTAATGGGTGTTGTGTTGGCCCCAAGCGCCTCGTGAGCGGTCATAAGCTGAGTGCTGGAAAGGAATGTGTTGCTGAATACTAAAACCAGCCCGAGTCGCGTCTCCTCGATTGTCCAGCTCTTCAGCTAGTCCACCATTTTGTGATGTCGCGCAGAACCTTCTCTTTCATATTCCTGTTGCAACTCGCTTGCTTGCAGCCTGCAATGGCAGCCTGCTACTGGCGCAACGGCACACAAAACACAGACATTGCGTACTCGACACAAATTAACAACACCTCCGATCCTCTGAGCAACATTTGCTGTGCTCGTTGGGATAACTTACTGAGGAACGGGCTATGTCAGAATAGGGGTGACGGGGCCATCTGGCGAGAGTCGTGTACGAAAAGCAATTGGGGGGAAGGAGGATGCCAGGAGCTCTGTTCGGACGAGGTACAATCCACGCAGAATTCTTTGCAGGCCATCAAAACTGACGAGGATTAGGATTCTTTACAAAGGAGCAAGGATACCAAGGTGACACCTTGCACTGGTGACGTTGATTCGTTGACCTGGTGTTGCGGTAATACTACTCAGTGCTGCACGGACGGAAGCACAACACCGCGATACACCATAGCAGCGCGATTTGGCGACCCTATACCCACTGTGACGTCTTCATTAGTCTCTTCTTCGACCGCATCTTCGGTCGCGTCCTCCGTGGTATCTTCTTCTCCGTCGAGTACGCCAATAGCCACTGGTGACAGTGAGCTCTCTACAGGTGCAAAAGCTGGTATCGGTGTTGGGGCTTCGATTGGAGCCATCGCTTTGATCGGATTGGGCATCTTCATTGCTAAGGCGCTGCGCTGGCGCAAGAAGGCGCGGGATGCCCCTACGCCTTATGTTGCACCTGAAGAACAGCCATCAAAAGAGGTTTATCGATATGAGAAGGGTGGCAGCGAGGCTGCCCAACTGGCCAGTGCGGAGAGTCAACTGCATGAGATGCCGGGATCTGTAGGAGCTTCGGAGCTCGATCAGGTTCGAGACAGTAGGGTAGTCGGCCGTGGTACCTCGGCGGTTTGACGCATGGCGGATGCGCGTCGTTTGATGATATTGTGGATGGCGGAGTGTGTGGGCTGCGACTACGAAGGCTGAAGGCTTCGGGGGGCCGGTCACGCTAAAACGCTAGCTCGGGCGCTCAAAGAAGGGGCGGCTCGATCACATTGTAACTTGCACCATCTGCACCACCTTCGTCTTCTCCCTTGCTGGCACTGGCGGTATTTCGTATCGTATAGGATGGCATGATGCATAGCCCTTGGGAGCCTCGCTTTTCTATCGTCCATCATCGAGCCGACCAAGTCTAGCGATGACATCATACGCTGTCGCGATCGGATTTCCACCACAGCCGCCACCATGCAAGGAGATCCGCTCTTCTTGAAGCGCTGCATCTTCATTGGGGTGTTGAGTCCATCTTCTGATCTCGTCCACAAGACTACAAACAACTCCACGGTGGACGTTCATGGCTACTTGTTACCCCAGTAGGCGCGGGCCGGTAGCCGGGAGGGGTGTGATAGACCTATCACGAAATGAGATTCTGGATACACATTTTCGCAATGCGCGGTGGCTACCCGAGTTCAACCCCATATTGGCCAATTAAGCACTTCAACAGCTTCTACTGGACAGCTCGCGGTGCATGATGACATGCATGCTGCTAGTACTGGATGCCACTCGTAGGCCCGCCACACAAGACGGCCGAATAAACATGCGTGCTTTCACGTTGTACAACGTACTTTCATCGGTCATGTATGCAGCTCGAGATTTAGGTTACTAATCTTGCAAGGCTGCTGGTACTGATAAGAAGAACATAGGCCCATCCTTGGAAGGTAACTTCCTAGATAACGAAACACTTAATTATCGATGAAGAAGACGACAAAGGCGACAGAAATAAACCCGATCGGCCTGAAATGCGACATGATGAGCGCCGAGAAGAACGTTGCGCAGCAAGCAATCGAGGAGCAGAAAGCCAATGGCACGCAGGATTCGGGGAAAGGAGCATTAGATGTATGAACACAGCTCGAACTCACGCTCTCGCTAATGGTTTGCAACGATACATCAACGCCTCGTCTTCTGTGAACTTTTCCTTCCTCATGCAATGTTCATGGGAGGCATCCGCGCTCACTTTCCAGTTCGCACTGAGCAATGGCGGCCCAGCGTCCATTGTTTACGGTAGCATATTCGCATGGGTAGGAACCATGCTAGTAGCCTTATCGCTTGCCGAGATGTCTTCCATGGATCCCACAGTCGGTGCTCAATACCGGTGGTCTGCCGCCTTCGCGCCAATGTGGAATCGCTTCTTCGGTTTAATGCAAGGCTGGATTACCGTCTTCGCTTGGATCTGTTGCTGCACTTCGAACGCAGCGCTAATATCGAATATCGTCACCGCCATGGCCTCCTTCAATAACCCAGAGTACGTGGTTCAGCGGTGGCACACGACACTCATCATGTGCGCTTCGACAATAGTTCCGTTCATTGGAAACCTTTGGCTTCCTAGAATCATCAACGTGCTCGAGACAGCGGGAGCAATATGCCATGTCGCCTTCTTCTTTGCTGGTATCATTACCTTGGCTATAATGTCAGAAAAGAGTTCCACGGAATATGTGTTTCAGAACTTAACCCACGACATTAGTGGTTGGAGAAACCCCGCCGTGACCTGGGGTATAGGGCTAATCACTGCCGTATACCCGCTGGCTGGTGAGTCTCGATAAAATTCTGGCTCAACACAGCTGTACTGATGAGTTCAGGTTTCGATAGCGTCATCCACATGTCCGACGAAGTCAAGCAAGCACACACCCGGGTGCCGCGCTCTATCATATTCTCGGTCGCAATGAACGGTCTCATGCAACTTCTTTATATGATCACCGTTCTCTTTACGATTGGAGACGTGAATCGTGCTTCCGTTTCGCCTCTACCAATCATCGAAGTCTATTATCAGGCCACGGGATCTGAAGCAGCCACAAATTTGTTCATGTTCATGCTAATCTACATAATCTTTGTATCGTTCTTCAACATATTCGCCTCGGTTTCTCGTCTTATTTGGGCGTTCTCCAAGGACGAGGGGTTGCCGTTCTCGCACACGTTCGCCAGGGTCCACCCAGAGCTGAGGGTACCGGTTAATGCACTGTGCCTCAGCGGCCTCTGCGTTTGTATCCTGGCTCTTATCAACATTGCTTCGAGCACTGCTTTCAATGCTCTTATCTCCCTTCCCGCAATGGGCTTGTACCTATCGTACTTTCTACCCATATTGTTCCTTTTCTGGCGTCGGACGATAAGCGCGAGGCCTCTACCAATTCCATGGGGTCCATTTAAGCTTGGCGCAGCTGGCGCATACATCAACGCCGGAGCTTTGTGCTACATCGTCTTCACCTTTGTTTGGATGCCACTACCCACTATCCTCCCTGTGGACAGGTTCAACATGAACTATGCGGGACCGATTTTAGGGGCGATCATATTAGGCGCTGCTGTAGACTGGTCATGGAAGGGGAGAAAGAGGTTTCAAGTACCAGTTGCGAATCGAGCATTTCAGTGAATGGACTGAGAACCCTCTTACAGAGAAGAACCCACTCTTCTTACACGCACTCGATGCGATAGCTTAAGGCATCGTAATCCACCTCAGAGTCTGTTTCACTAAGACGGGCCCGCGTGGTATACTGCCTTCTTTTATCTATCCCGGCTTTCACCTAATCGGTTTCTACGCCTTGAGTACTTATATCATTCCTCCTCTTCTCTTAAGGCTGCATCGATTTACCCAACCGTATTCCACACTTGTTCGCGACCACGATGGCTCAACTCAACCAACCCTCGAACGAACCTGCTGGAGCGCGCGTGGAAGAACTCGGAGAAATCTCACCTTCAACAGTCCAATCCATGTCTCTGCCGCGCCCACCCCCGAATCCAGTGCCAGACCTCATGGATCTTGTCATCAATCGAGAGTCGCGCTACACAACGCACTCACTCATCACATCTTACCTCGGTATTAATGATATACGCAATGTTCAGTTAGCCTGCAGAAAGACGTCGGATCTGTACGCGAACATGAAGAAGACCCAGTGGAACATCAACACAAGCCTGCAGCCGTTCTTCAAAGACACTCCAAAGTTCCGCTCTGTGCAAGCCCAGACCGAGACTCTGATCGGAAGCAAATTCGCCGGAAAGTTCTTCCGTCGTCTGCAGGTCAGGAATGAACTTCAGCTCTTTACGCAAGCTGGGGAGAAGGCGGATGCTCTCATTAGCTATCTTGAAAAGGATGGGTACGCTCGAGACAAAGACTTCTCTCATGAACGCGTTACGCTTGGTGCTTCAAGGGTAAGTCTGCGTTACTATGCATCGTTATCCAAACAGATGTGACTAACTACTGGAAGTTTTCTCTTTTCACGAAGACATCGCCTAGTGACGGTAGCCAATTTTCAATCACTCTTCAACACTGTGTTCATTCACCCATCGACGGGGTCCTCAAACGCTGTATGACCTCTGCTACAGCATGCTTCATTTCATGGAATAAGGCGTATTGCCTGTTCCCGAACACGACCATCCTGAAGCGAACGTCATACCTAATGACACCTATGTCACAAGCAGAATCTTCACCCACGATTGCCGCGATAAAGCGCGACTACGAAGAAGGATTCCTCGTCAAGACTGGCGAGTGGATGGTCAACCCCTGTGAAGAGGCGTCGGAGTCACACCCGGAGTTCGCTTCTGCGCGGACCGCTGGTGACAATCTCTCATGGATAATCAAGCTTGATACCACCGATACCACCCCTGCTACAGCCCCAGACTTGCTACTTGACGATGCTCAGTTCTCCGTGGGTAGAAACTGGAGCTCGAGCATAGTATCTTACCTTGAGTTCAGATATGATGTACTCGCATCCTGCGCCCTACAACATACATACATCTGTCATTCACGAAGCCACTTTATGCCAGGCGGCCATGACAGGAAATTCGATCACAGGGATCGGATGCAGCGCCTCGTAAGGGTACTGAACGACCAGACATCCATGCAGCTCACCATGCTTGCCCGAGACGACCGGCCCCCTCAATATCGCACAATCACTAGTACGAGAGGAAGCGACCACATGGCTAAGGGTCACTTCAAGGTACCTCCGAACTGGAATTACTTCGACGCAGAGATCCAGGCCGAACTTCGGATGATAACTAAGCAGTTGCTCGCTACCGGCCCACCGAAATAGAACAGCCTCATACAGAGAGAGATTTGAAAAGATCTGCAGACGACATGAGGGTGTAATGTGAAGGGTAGAAGACCTAGCGCCCATGTAGACTTCACGGTGTTCGGCTTTTGCCCTTTATGAATGAATTCTGTGTCCAAATGACATCAATATAATCTATAATTGCTGGCTTGCACTCCTGTGATCTGTCGCACACCTGCTAGCCTTCGCATCCTTATTCATCTCTCAGAACTAACGTTAATTTATCTATCTAATCAACGAACCAGTCCGACTTCATCTCGATCCATAGACCCGCTTCATGGTTACAACGCGCAATAGCGCTGCCCACAGATCTCATCAGCCTTCGCTTCCTCGTCTTTCAGAACTACCTTGTTGCGATGCGGTGTCACCTCTACCACCTCGCGAAACGATGGCCTAGGTTCGCCTGCGCAATACGTTCACTCCACTGATCCGAATCTTGCCAAACGCCGTTCTCTGCAAGCCAGACAGCTCGGCAAAGAGGACATGTCTTCTCGTCATCCGGCCGCTGTTTCAGGAATTCTTTGAGACAGTCTCGACCGATCATGTGTTCGCAGCCTTGTATACCCTTGATCTTGACACAAGGATGAGCCGCAGCATTCTCCATGCAGACCGGGCAGTCTGTGTTTGTCGTACTAGTCGTGTTGGCGGCAGTGAGCGGCTCGGTATTGCGTGCGATGAAGTTGTTGATACGCTGCTCGCTGCTTTCAGTGGGTTGGTAGTCTGCTGGGAGGGGATGAGGCTCAAATTCGACTGGAAAACCGCCTCGTGTAGGGACTGGAACGTACCCAGATCGCCGTGGTGGGGTGGGGTGAGCATGAAAAGGCAGGTCTTCGCCTCGTCCGAAGCCACCGACATGGGCAGGAGTGTTACTGGTGGGTCCAAATGGAAAGTTCGCGCCGAAACTGCTTCCAGGTCTATTAGCTCTAGGCACATGAGCGACGTCGTTTCCAGAGAATATAGGATGGCTAAAAGCTCCCTCAAACGCATTATCGAATGCAGCACCCATACCGATATGAAGGGCGTCGAACCCCGGAATACCGCCTGTGTCGTTGAAAGGGAATCCTGGACCAAAGGCACTTCGCATGCTTTCACCTTGTGGCCCAGAGCCGAGCATACTGTCCAGTTCCGCCATGGTGTCGGCTAGACCATGCATAGCATCGTGATACCCGTGGGAACTGGAGTGTCCGATATCAGTATCGTATTCATCGTCATCTTCCTCCTCGATGAAAACAATGTGGGAGGGCTGACGAGAGCTTCGGGGAACATACGCTGTAGCCTGGCTGCGTGTTTGATGCGGATGGCCGCCACCACCACTACCGCCGCCGAGACGCTGTCCTCGTGTGCTGAAATTCTGACCCGCACGATTGCCGGAGCTCGATCTATGATTTCCACGACCGGAATGACTCATTCTCAATAGTATGTGTCGAAGGTTTCGTTCTGTGAGGTTCAGTGATTAATTGGTTGTGATTGAGGGAAACGCGCAGTGATGTGGTGAGTGCGCAATATGAAACAGGCGCGACTTAAATAGGCGACGGTCTGTGCGGTCGAGTGAATGAGAGATGATCTAATGCGAGTGAATTCTGGAAGCGTTATGTAATAAGTCAGCTGCGGGTTAAGTGAAAGCTGTGGGGGCATGCCAGTGCACCGGGAAGATGAAGGTGAACGGATGACCTTGTGAAGACTAGATAGATGTCTCACAGCGAGCATGTAATGTGTCTCTTCTACTTCTTCCCCTTCTTCTTTGAATCGCTGTCTTTGCCTTCTTTTGCGAAGCCACCCAAGACTAATGCCTCCCTAGCCGTAGTGTTGATGATGCGAAAGCGGTCAGGACCTAGATGTATACCACCATACCATCTTGTGACAACCACCATGACGTTCCAAACATCCATCAACTGCATTAAGTGCAGCATGCGCGATCCTGCAGCAGTCTCACCATCATCGTCGCAGTCTTGGTAGCTTGTATCGTTGGGGCCTTTGATCCGCCAGGCAGTCATGTTATGAGTTGCGCGAGCAGCCTTCTTGTCTGTGGCTAGGAGATGCGCGACGTACTGTCTAGCCTGTGCTGGTGACGATACAGGTGCTGCGCGAGCTAAGAAAACCGACTTCTTCTCGGTGAGGGCGGGTGCTACGATCCAAGGTGGCTCCGGCCCAAGGTCGATGGCCGGGTCGGGTGGCATATGCGATATATCGTCTTTTTCAACGTGCTCATCCTCGTGTTGATCGTGTAGTTGGATGTTTCCTTGCTCTTCCGCTTGTTCCAAAGCCTCTCTTGCCTCTTCGAGCAGATCGTAGATACATGCCTCGCCGGGCTGGTAGATCCTTGCCAGAACTTCTCTCACTACATCGACAGCCTGGCTGCCCATACCCTTGGGGACATCTTGTCCCACACTCTGAGTGCCTAGCACGGATGGCGGCGCATCCGGATAGTCTGCCGGAAATTCTATGCGCAGAGTTATCGATGGCAGCGACGGCAGACGTAGACTGTATAATCCTTGGTCTTCATCTAAGGCTGACAGGGTGCCTTCGTCGAAGATGGCGTTGAGCGAGGTGACCTCATCTTGGATGGCGTCGTTGGCGGACATATCTGTGATTGCCTTGTCCGATGGCGGGGTGAACGATGCGGAAGGCGCGCTAGCTTAGCGCCGTTCGCGTTCGCAAGCTTGGAAACATCAACACCCTCGCGACGCTCATGCCGACCTCCTTCCCCACCACGAACCCATTGTCGCAACCTCACGTCGCCAAAAATGGCGCCAAATGATGATGCTAAGCGCAAGTCAGGTCTAACGATTGCGCAGGTGAAGTTCAAGCAGGCAATGAAAGATTCCGATGCCGAAGATCGTTCAGCGCCCATTGCAGTCGAAATTAGCTCGCAGCTTTTCAACCACATTGATGCCGTTCTTCAGCAGAACTCGCCCATCAATATCCAGGTATCTAGCTATAAAACCGTCGATCACATGTCACCGGGAGCAGACTAATTCGCCGCTCGTAGAAATGCACAGAATGGATTGTGAAGCACGTAGCTCCCTCCAAGGCTCGGATCACCACCCTCGGCGCGTATCTCATCGCTGTCTCAAAGTCTGTCGTAGTAGATCAGAGCACTCCAGCGCTAGCGAAGAAAGCAGCGCGCAACCGGATGGATCTCTTGTTGATCGTCAACGATGCCCTCCATGCTGACAAGTTCCATCGTCGCGACACGACGAAGCAGAGTATTCTTGGCAACGCGTGTCAAGATTTTGTCCCTGACTTGATTGAACTCGCAGCGGCGTGTATCACTGAGAAGGGATCGCAACTAGAGGTGAAGCTGAAAGCTATTGTCAACTACTGGGCTGTCAACAAGCTCTTGAGCTCAGAGGGTCTGAAAGCTTGTCGGCACAAGGCAGACGAGGCCTTGTCCGTAGCACAGGGTCGCAAGCGCAACTACGTCCTTCCAGAATACCACGGCGACCGAAATGCCCGATGGCACGACCTCCCCGCATCGTACATGCTCGAGCCTATAATCCGAAACCCGAACCGCCCGATCCACGAATCTCAGATTAAGATACGGAAGTTTGACAAGAAGCCTGTCAGTTCGCACGTTCGCACTCTCCTGGACAACTTCTTCGAAAACATAGACCTAAAGTACCTGCCAACGGGCGATAATCCGACCGGGGAAACAACCAAGTATAGGCTTTCGTTGGATCCTATGGGCCAGCTGGTCAAGCAGGACAAGGAGACTGGCGAGAAAGTTACAGTGGCAAACGGCTACGGCTGGTCGCCAAAGTTTTGTCAAGACATACAGAAGTTCACCGTCCCGGAGACCATCAAGATCGCGCGAGAGGACATAGAACGCATGGAGGACATGGAAGACCCACCAGTCTTGTCTGTCGCGCGTCGCGTTGGCCCCGACAGTCGGCCCACTACTTCCTCGTCGACAGAGTCGGGCCCACCCTTTAGGGAGCGAAGAAGGGGATACAATCGTAGCCGCAGTCGCAGTCGCAGTCACAGTCACCGTAGCCCTGGGGGTTATCAGTATGACGACGCGCGCCGTCGAATGTCGCCCGACGGATCCATGGGTCGCCGCAGGGTCTCACCACATGGACCTTCGCGCCGAGAGTCTGAGAGCAGGGGTTTCGTCGAGCCACGACCATCATCAAGGACATACGACAGAGAAGGATCTCAGCCTGGCTCGCAGTGGAGTGGTGCGAACAGGAATACCCAGTCCAGCCCCAACAAACATCAGCACCAGGTTCCGCCCATGCTGCATCAGCCGCCTTTCAACGCGCCGCCGTTCCCACCACCGCACATGTCAGGCCAGTTCCAAGGCCAGTTTCCCATGCCAATGCCGCCATTCGGTGTTCCTCCTCCACCACCACCGCAGTTCCAAGGACGTGGTGGCTTCGTTCCTCCTCCCCCGCCCCCCAACTTCAACGGCATGTGGCAGCCTCCACCTCCCAACATGAACATGCCACCGAACGGTCCGCAACATGGCAACCAGGGTGGCAACCATCACGGAGGCCAGGGTGGAAACCGGGGCGGCAACCAATTCGGAAATCAGGGCGGCAACCAGTATGGTAACAACTTCGGTCCCGGCAACAATGGCCAGTATGGTCAGAGCCGTGGCGGATACCAAGGTGGACGTGGTTATGGAGGTGGGCAGCGCGGTGGCAACAACGGCAACAGAGGAGGCTGGAGGGGTAACGGACGAGGCGGGCGATATTGAGATCAGGTGTGAACGCATGCGACCAAATGGTGCATGCAAACATGCTTTCAGGTCCATTGCACAAAACTTTAGGATATCCAACACATGGCGGCATCCCTTGGAGGAAGCATGTACATTCTTAAGAAAGACTTTAGAGCCCTTCTCTGGGTGGCTTGATTATCTTATAGCTTGCCTAATCTACTCATTGTATACTTGGCCGTACGGTTTGATGTCTTGACAGCGGCACCGAGACTGGCATGCGTGAATCGTAGCATGCTCTGAATGTAGCGGACGAAGGTAATTAAAGAAATGCTCTACGTTTAAGCTCAAGTTGGTGGCACAAGCATCTAGGATCCCCAAGTTGATATGGCGGCTTTGAGTCAGTGATGCCGCGGCACTGCAGTCGGGAACGCGTTGCGACGCGACGCGTCCACTGCGGGCTCGTCATGCGCGGATAGTCCCGCACCATCACCGTTCACCACGCACCAGTCACCACTCACCCGCCTACGGCCCGGCGCACTATTACTCTCACCTCTTCCTACCCACAATGGAGACGATCTACCTCGACACATTCTCCAACGGAAGTTGCGCGTAATGGCGCGACCGAAAAGGAAACGCAACTCATTGAGAACCAACACAAACAAACGTTCACGATACGTCGATTCGAGCCAAAGCGAAGCCGGCAGCCAAAGCGACACTTTGTGGGCAGCGGAGAGCATTCTCGACGAACGAGTAGTCCGTGGTGTACGCAAATACTACATCCAATGGCAAGGGATTGACCCCAAGACTGGAAAGACGTGGGAACCGACTTGGGAGCCGGAGGAGAACGCCAACGACTTACTCGTCGCCCACTGGGCGCAGGAGAAGGCGCGCATCTTGGCAGAAGTCCACCAGCAATATCCAGGAAGCGACAACGGACACCCTGAGCAACCACAAGAGGCACAGGCATCGAGGCGCATTCGCAATCCCCGTGTGGTTGACAGCAGCCCGGAGCCCAGCACCGCATCCTCTACGCCTTCGACACCTCTCGACGATCGAGCCGACTCGGAGGGACTGCCCAGTGCCGCAGTGCCCGCAGCTCGTGCTTCGCCTCGCATCCAAATCGCTCGACGGGGTGACAGTCTCGAGAGGAACGAATACGTGCGCTTCACGCAGACGCCATCGTCTCAGCCAGCTCCGACCCCAGAGCCCACTCAGGACACCAATCTCGACAGCTCGCAGTTGTTCGCAGCACGCCCACGACCTCATCTGTCAGACATAGTCCCCGACTCGCAGAGTTCCAGCGGCGAAGGAAGCTTCGTACCCACGACCCAACGCACCGAGGACGTCAGCCAGCAGAGCACTGATACGAACGAATCGCACGTGGAGGAGGATCTTGCTGAAGATTCGGTATGACCAATCCTTCCCATACCCAGACATCAGTGTATTTGCTAACCAGTGTTTGCAGGGCCTACTTGAACTCATTGAAGAAGCAGCACAACACGCGTTGTCGCCTGCACGATCGATACCCGAGACGATACCCGATACCACCGTAGCAGACTCGCAGAGTCAGCGGCAGAGACCTGAGGCAGAGTCGCAAGGTTCTCCGAACACACTCCAATTCATACATATTTCCTCACAGGTGGAACACGAGTCGGGCCCAGAACCGGACGATACTCTGCAGATTCAATACAGCGAAATCGATCAGGGTGTTGCACAAGACGAGCATCAGAAAGTCGGAACGAACGAGTTCGGGGCGCCCCAGGCTGACCACGCCGCTTCGCAGACTCACTCAGCACAAAGCGCACGCGAGACTACCCCAAGCAAGGAGACCGGTACACTAGGCGAACACCCTCGTTTGGAAGCAGCGGCTACGGACATTACAAGGAATGCTTCGACAGAGACTGTCGACACAAACAAAGTCCCGACCTCACTCAATAAACCATCTACACTAGTCGAGAACAGCCAATCTCATCTCACCGAAAGGCCCAACGTAGCTAGCGATACACAAATCTCCGACGGTGGTAACGAGCTGTCGCAACATCAAGCTTTCCAGCAGATCAGCGTTTGCGACAGTCAACCAAGTCTAATTGAGCATTCGGTATTGGAAGACAACGAACAGTTCCCTTTCCAGTCGCAATACCCGTTTCGGCATTCTCAGCCTTCACAATCAGTATCTTGTATCAAGTCCTCAGAACAGCTCCCACAAGCTTGCGCGACACCGGCCCTCCCAGGACGAGTACTTGCTGGGGTAAGTGTGCCAAGCGAATCCAATCCGGCGCCAGCGCTCGACCCACCTCACCCATCAGTCCAAGCATCCACTGCACCCCATCACCAAGATCACAACGACACGCTAGTGGAACTTCTCGAACCCGAAGCTGCTTACAGCGTCTCACCGTCGGGCCAGCTTCAAGAAGAGCTGTCTCTGCGTGATCAACTGCTGCACGCGTCATCCAGCCCGGAGCGCGTACAGAACGCGCAAGTAGTACCTCTTGAGGCAGATCTGAGCACACAAGAAGATACATCTGAGAGCATACGAGATACTATCGAGGAAGAGGTAACACATCTGGCTAGCCCTGAGTCTCGTCACGACTCATCGCAGGAATCGCCAGAACGCCCTTCAAGATCGCGGAATCACGAGACCTCGCCGGTTCCGTACCCACCCAGCTACTCGCTGCAAACGCAAGCATCTCGACTTCCATCACGGCCTTGTACGCCTGTTCCTACCTCATCTCTCTCAATCATGGCGGGCGAGGGTACCGGAGACATCATTAGGCGGCAGATGCAAGAAGCCATCGATAAGCGCATAGCAGAGTCTCGCCGTACTCCCAGAAGGCGTCCCAGGTCTTCGATGACGCCCTCAGTAGTGGGAAATGCGCCCGCAGCTACGCCTACGCCAGTGAGCAGGCTACGTGAGACGCAAGAGCCGGCAGAAGGCACTCGATCGCCTTCCGCTGTGCCAGACCGCTCCCCTCTTGCGCAAGCGCCGACGTCGCTCCGGAATATCGCCTATGCTCCCAGCAACGTACAGCCAGAAGCTCCCACACTAGATAAGGTCATGGCTTCACCACCAAGGAATCATCCAGAGCCTACTATCGCTGAAGCAATAAAGCCATCAGAGCCTATCGTACCGGTACCAAGATCTCCCACATCTGACGAGATGGAGGTCAGCGACGCAGACGATGAAGATAGCGAGAGCCTCTTCAATGATGATCTGCAGCTGGTAGACCAGGAGTTCATCGTGCCCTTGTATATCTCGGGTCGACAAAGAGATACATACGCCCAGTACATCACCGCAAAGAGGGATCTGTTAGAGCCATTCCTGAAGGATCGTCACAGTCTCAACTCAGTCGAGGAGGTCAAGAATGTCCTATCCCAGCTACGCGCTATCGAAACGCACATGGACTTGGTATTCGCTGAGGCAGAATCGAACGCTTTAGATGGTGAGGCTTCGGCAACGCAAGCAGAGCACGCAGCTAGATTTGGCTTGGAAAACTCCACCAAATTTAGATTTCTGTCAGCGCTGTTCAATGAATTGCGGCATTGCGAGCCGCAGAAACACGTTGTATTGGTCACAGAGAGCGACAACGAGACACTCTTCCGCATCCTTGAGACGTTCTGTAAGACAACGTACATCAACTACATTATGCCTGGTAAAGATCGGAAGGCAAACCTGAAAGAGGTGGTAGGTAACTTGTTGGTCACCATCATCCCAAGCGATGCATCGCCCATCATACATGTTCCCGACCTGATCATCTGTCTCGACGGTGTGCAAGACGCAGCACAAATTCGCAAAAAGAATTGGGCCAAATCACCTAATTGCGATGTGGTACCTGTGCTTCATCTAGTCATTCCGAGGACTGTCGGCCATATTGAACGGTACATAACGTCCAGCCTGGATCCCATCGATCACATGCATACTATCCTAGCGAGCCTGGCGCATGTTCATCCTGATGTTGGAAAAGCCATCGATGAACGCACACCACGAGACGTTGAGTGCGCTGAATTAGTCTCCTACTGGATCAAGAACAGGATGGAAGGTGCTGATTGGCCATTGTCTTCTATCGGTAGTGTCAAGGACGTTATAGAGTATCAGACGCAACAGACGCAACAGACCTCAGCCGACGCTCCTATACCTGAACGTAGCAAACGTCCTCTGGATGACGAAGAGCTCGATCCTGCAAAGCGTATGCGGTTCACTCCCCAACCGCAGACAGTACCTGCTTCTGCGGTGGACAAAGAGCACGAAGTCACGCATATTAGCGATTCCATGCCTGGCACTGCAGCTTACGATTCTGATCTGCGAACACAGCTAGCCCATGCGAAAGAAGGGCTTCGGGAAGAGCGAGAGGCTCGTAGAGCAGGTCAAAGGGACTTTGGTGAGCATAAGGATATGTGGGACAGGCAACAGACAGTGCATGAGGATCTGGCAAGCGAGCATCGCCGTGTAAAGAGAAGACTACAAGATGCCGAGGACAAAGTCGAGACCTTGACCAGGAACAACGCCACTCTCACCGAACGTCTCACGGCGCGTACCACGGAAATGCGTGAGGTGAAGGAGAAGCTCAAGGAACAGCGGGAGACGGCCCTGCTTGGAGACGATGCACGACTTCAAGAGATCGCCAAGCTCCGCAACCAGCTCGACGAAGCGAACGAAAAGACAGAGCAAGCAGTGAAGAAGGCTGCGGCAGCAGAGCAGACGTTGGATTACATGAGAGAGAGCCTGCAGGACGCCCGATCCACCGCATCTACCGCCACTGCCCGAGTTGAAGAACTGGAAGCCCAGCACGTCACACTTACCAAGGCAGCTTCGGGTGACGCAACGAAGCGGAAGAGCATGCATATCGAAAGAGTCTACGATGACCAACAGCAGCGTGTCAAAAGGTTGGAAATGGAGCTGAGCATTACGAAGCGTACATTAATGACGAAAGACGACGAGATAGCTCGTCTGAAGAGTATGGGAGGTAGGCCTGGTGTCGGCACCAGAGGAACGAGTGCAACGCCTCAGCCCAAGACCAGGAGTAGAGCAGCTAGTCCCACTTTCACTGGCGGGCGCATCGCCAACTTGAGAAACAGCTAAGGCAGCTTGGGAATTCTTGAGGTTGATGGGCTCTGGATCTTGACCTGCTCTTGATGAATGCATTCAGACTTGGTGGGCATGTCATCTTGGTGGTGGTGTGTGCGAGATGGGCAGACAAGCCATCTTGGTCACGGCGCATGACGGCTAAGACTACCAGGATACTTTACTTCCTTTCCCAGCATGCCTTACGATGAATATAATTTCATTGCATACAATTCACTGTTCCTACACTATGTGCATGCACTTGTGTTCATGACCCCGCGCCGACGACACCGGAGGTCATCACCGTTTCGACCATCTTCCAGTCATCAGATCCGGGCCAAGAAAAGGTCACGCGTTGAAGATACTGCCCTCTTCACCGTCTCGGTCTGGCTGACTACAGCGTTGAGCTACGACGTACATGTCCTTCCAGGGCTCTTCCGCTTCTCCAGTCGCAAAATGCTAGACGATAGAGTGACCTCAACCACGACTCCGACCAACGAATTCTGAACAAGACACTTTGAAGTTGTCTGCAGCATTCACAGTCACAGACTTCGCCGCTCCAGTCACCGGCGAGGGTATCTTCACCACATACACTGTGCCGTCACGTTCCAACACTTATCCGGCTACAATAACCTACCAGTCCTTCTGACTACAAATCACCATCAATCACAGTCACCGGATCCTCACCACAACCCGAGAAGCCAGACTCCACTTCAGAAACACTTCCAAACAACGCCAAACTACATCTACCATGCCAGCTTTCCAAGGTGGCATTTTTGGGGGCTCAAATCCTTTCCGCCCTGGCGGTGGTCGTACAGGTGGCGGTGGAGGCCGACCAAGCCATCACCAACCGAACCCATATGATGATTACAACGACTCACCTCCCATGATGGGTGGCATGCGCAGTCCTGGTCCCATGGGCCGTCCCATGACAGGCGGCCAGACACACTCCTACCACTCATACCAAGACTCCGATGGCAACAGACATGAAGAAGGTTACGGTCCAGGCGGCCCGTTCAGCAACTCTGTTCGCGGCGGAATGGGTATGGGTCAAGGTCCACCACCACAGGGACGTCCATCCCCAGGAAGTCTTCTAGGCGGCCGAAACACCGGACCAGGCGCTTTCTCCTCTTCTTTCTGGAGCGGCCCCAACCCCTTTCGCAGCAACGGCGCCAACGGCGCACCAAACGGTCGCAGCGGACCCAACACCGGTCCCCGCGACCCTTCCTTCAGAATGGAAGTCGAGCCAGCACCTATGCCCCCGTCCAACGGTCTCACGAGCGAAACCTCCGAACTCATGGCCGAATTCATGGCCGAGAACACGCAGCCCTTAGGCGGACCCATCACACCCCCAAATGCGGAATGTCCGATTTGTCTAGAGCCGCCCAGCGCGTCGCATCTATGTGTTCAGATCAAGAATATTCCGGGGTGTAATCATCTTATTGGGAGGGAGTGTCTGAAAGAGATGTTGGTGAATCGCCCGGATGATGCGAAGAAGTGTCCGATCTGTAGGGCGGAGTTTCTGGCGGAAGATGGGATTTGGCAGGATTCGGAGCAGTTTCAACAGTTGGGACGGGGAGGTCCTCCTGGGTATGGGGGTGGTCCTCCTCCTGGGTACGGTGGTGGGATGCCGCCGAGACCTGCTGGATATGGTGGTGGTGCTCCTCAGATGTCTCCGCAGATGCCTCCTCAAGCACCTCGTCCGACACCTCAGCCAACACCTCGTCCGACACCTCGTCCAGCACCACCCAGTTACGCCAGCGCAGCTGCATCACCAGCACCTCCAGGCCCCCCAAGCTACATGGCAGCACCTCGTCCACCTCCAACACCTCGTGCTGCTCCTGGACCTAGTCCCCACGCCGCTCCCCCAGGTCTTCGCAACGCGATGCGCGGTGGAGCCAGAGTTCATGGCATGGGTGATGTTGGTAGAGGACGGGGTAACGAGCAAGACGATGGCGGTGGCATGCAAGGTGGTCCCCCAATGATGAACCAGGACAGATGGCCGCCTGAGCCACGTGAACCTGAGACCAACTTCGGTGGCCGCGGTCAACAGCTTGGCTATATGGACGAACGACAGCTTTGGTAGAGCGTAGTCACCATGGTGAACTACTTCAGACGAACAGTTCAGGCAAATTTTGATTTTCTGGCTTACCGAGCCCACAGTAAAGACGCCTGAACCTACTCGCGAAAAAGCTTCAGGTTTGAGCACGTAGCCAAGAAGATCCTGATGGTCAACGGTAGATTCGATGCCGTTGAGCGTCTTGGTTTGCTTTTCTTTGTTTTGTTTTTACTTGTGTGCGCGGACCGAACACATCAGAGCGTGGCATAGGGCTTGTATTCGCGAATGAGTTCCACACTATACGCGAGCTTGATATGGAATGGGTGTAGGCCCGATAACTAAAGTCAAAATTCCGGTCAACGCCTCAAGATTGCAGTAGGTGATCCAAAATCAAATCCAAGTCCACATCTCTTTTTGCAAACATTGGTTCATTCAAATCGTGGTACGCAGGGCGGTCGGAATAAGCTTTGCGACATACCCATCACGGTATCTGTCGCAATATTCGCGCAATTCGTGAAACCACACTAGACGATATTCCATATCGATTTATGTTGGTTGTGGGTGGGTGTATCAGGTACAACTGCGTCCGACCCTGGTGGCATCGGCTCATGCACCCTGCAGGGCGCGCCCTATTGATCGACCGCGAGATAAACTTACATGGTAGCGGTGAGCAGAAAAACATGGCTGTACTTGACGTTTTTCTTGTGTCGCATTTCGTGCTTGATCATGCTGTGCGCTGCCCGGTGATTGACGTTGCTTTAGAGTTGACTGGACCGGATCGACAGATCCACAGCGGGAATAATGGTGTTGGTGTTGTTTGAGGAAATGGCGCACCTGCAGCGACATGGACATGTTCAAAAGCGCGTGCTGACAGTATGAGCCTAGCGTTGGGTTGAGGCAATATCGTGCATGGGGAGGGTGGCTGTGTGCTTGATAGCAAGGTGCATGCAACCTCGGAAAGCACTTTCCGGATGCTGACATGGTGCAGGAAAGTCTGAAATCCCGTCCATGGAGGACCATGTGCCAAGTCTTGGGCCAAAATAAACAGGAAGGTGAAGTTGCCGCGGTCACAGCTGTGTGCCTGACGACTGGAGACAAATGACGGCTTTCAGCCGAGCCATCCGATTGAAAGCATCGGCCCCGCAGTACGGTCCCGCTTATGGCGCTGCCCCTCATCGATCGTCGAGGCCTGGTGATGCGGCGCCTGCATAGAACACGTTTGGAACAATGCGGCGTTTTGACATCGTGACGTTTCGGCGGCCTACACCGGTTTTTTTGTACGTAAAACGAGGCTTCTAGACCCCCTTGGTCTGCTGAAATGCCATCATGCCAAACTATGCATATGTTTGCAGCATCGTGGATGACCGAGGGCCATCGCAAGAGTTGCTTTCGACGTCTTATGCTGTGGGCCGGTGTGACGTGGGTCAGACTGCGCATGCAGCAAAATGCATGGCAGAGAATTCGAATGAGTTTCCGCATCCACGGTGGAGAGTCTTGGCTGCGGCTTCTTGCGGTTCAGCCCTCAGAAGCGGACGTTTAGTTGCAGATCCTGGTAGTCTAGAAAAAGGTCTCCCCGTTTCCTTGCATGGCGCCAGACGACGCGGCATGGGTCGTCAAAGAGCACCACGACGTCCCAGGAGACGTGCGCCAGCAACGTGGTTCTCTGGAAAGGTCTGACACCGTACCAGCGATATGCAGGTGCAAAGTGAGCTGGCTGGGCCCCGCGCGACAAAGAGTAAAAGACTAAATGTGGCCGGTAAATGGCTCAGTCGTGGCGTAGCTGCTGATGTTTAACCCAACGCACGGTCGTCCCACTATGAGCAAGGGCTACCTGGGCCGTCGTCATCTTGGAGCGCGAAATAGAAGCGAATATTGGCTTTGTGTCATTTGCTCCTCTCTAAAAACCGTATTACTGGCCTTTCCGGTGTGTGGCGACGTGCTCCGCAGCTGGGTTAATGCAGCGATGTTGGCTAAGTTAGTCAGGTGGTGCCACTCAAATGCAGTTGTATCAAACTATCTGCGTCACGCAACATCCATCCGGTGTACCGTCGAACAACACAGATTAGATACTTGCTATGAGCATCGTGATGTGTGCTATAACAGGTATTGCATGCATAGAGCTCAAAGTAGTCTGGCGCTCAACAAAACATTACACCGCTCAAACAGGCAAGAATGAAAAAACCTGGGGAAGCGCTACGGGAGCGCGATGGTCCAGGGGTAACAGAAAACAAATGGCGCATTCATGGATGGCTAACCGGCATGTATCACGCTTCTGTACTAGGAAACAATCTGCCCCCAATTACGTTGCATTGGTTCGGGCTGATCGAGATGCATGCATCGGTGTCTCTTGTGTGGAACTTATCGTGACGGCGCGATTCGTTCTGTTTCTGATTGTGCGGTGAAGCTTCCGAAGCCCTTGCGATCGTGATTGAATGGTGCCTCGATCCTAGCCCTCAGCCACGTATAAAGACATCATCTGCTGCCCATCTTTCTCTCGAAGCAGCAAACGCATCCACAGCAACTCTACAACCAATCTCGAGTTTCCAATCTAAACTCTTTCGCAACAAGACGGGATCGACACAAGAGAACTACCCTCATACAAACCTCGAACTACCTACCGCAGCCAATCAGCTCCGCCTACATTACGACCCACACCATCCACCTATCATCTACCATCTATTAGAATTCAGACATCATGCCTGCTCTTCCATTCAACTCGTCCGCTGCTTCGTCACCTTCATCTTCACCCACCTTGTCGCCTACCATGACGCCTTCAATAGTTCTCCATCCCGCATCGGGTATATTTGATCAACCATACTAAAGCCTCCCATCTAATCTCTCCAGCAGGTGTCTCATCACAGAAGAAGGAGCTTCTCAAGCCAAAGGAAGATCCTGCGCAGGCCTACCGCATTCGTTATGCGCAGTACCTCGCAGCCACCTTTGGCTTCTCGATGCAGGCTGCGCTCGCCGAGGCGGATTGCCAGCTCGCGCCGAGACGCTCGTCAAGTTCGAGCATGTCGGAAGCTGAGTCGTTACGCGCGATTTGAGCTGGGCGGATTGTGGAAGGGTGTTTTATGACTTTATGATGCATATATAGGGTAATGGGCATTGGGATGGGGTATTTGGCGCATATTGAGACAGTTTGTAGTGCACAATCAAAAGCGTTCTCTGTTCACCAAGACTACCTAATTGTTGTGACCGTCTCTTTCTTCGTGGTCACAAGTGTATGCGCATGGAAGTCTTCAACTTCAACCAGTCGGAAGCGTACCAGTTGATGCGAACACGCTGTGTTGTAGGAACCGTGCCTCGGTACGGTCGGATGCCAGAATTGTGGGAGCTGTGGGAGCAGGAGCGCAGAGGCCGCAACTGCCACCCCCACCACATACCAGGGATAGAGGTTACTAGTAACGTTACTAGTTGCTACTAGCTACTTAGTAATAGCTTATTACTTAAATAACTAGCTTAATATTTACTTTAAGCTTTTAATTTTTTTATATTATAAAAGCTAAAGCTATTTACTATATAACTTAAAAATCTTAAGTAATTTAAATAAGAACTAGCTATAATATATAGTATTAAAGTTTTTCTTACTAGTAATACTAGTAATGTTACTACTAGTAAAATTTTTAGTTTTTATTTTTCTTAATAACTTCTTAATTTTAAGCTTTTATTTTAATTTTTTAAATATATTAAATAATACTAAATTTAAGCTTTAAAATAGCTAAAAAACTAAGTAAAAAGCTATTATATTGCGTAAGTTATTAAGAGTCTTAGCAAAATAGTAGTACTAGTAACGTTACTAGTAACCTCCATCCCTGGCACATACCCGCCACGCCAGGTCCAGGTCTCCACGCACTGAGCTTGTCTATCGATAGGGAGACTCAATTTCAACGACATCTCATGTCCTGCGATGTCTTTTGTATCCAAAAGAGCCCTGTCGCGCCATCATCGTGTTCCGAAAAGCGCCGGTCGCTCGCTGTGTCGCCAGCCAAACGTACGCTCCCCAGACTACTCGGCCCAATCCTCCACGACAATGCTCACTCGGCCGCGCGACGACTGCTCGATGCGTTGCAGGTCTAGTGCAGTGTCTCTACGCGTCTCTATCAAGGCGTATTGGCTTGCGAGACGTATCATTGGCGGTGCCGCCACACCTACCGCCGCCCAAGCCTGAAGTGGCATACGTGGCAAACATCAACCTGTCATATGCGGCAGCGCTGCTTACTATCGTATCTCGACCCCGGAATCCATTTCCCAGACGAATCCTCCTGCTGTCCAAAGGAATATCATGGCTCCACACACATCGCGCAAAACGCGGGGTTTGGTTGCCTCAACTTCAACGGGCAAACATTTGGTACCGAAGAGTACTCCGATAGATCTCAACGCCAACAGCCGAGACATCTCGGCATCGCGGCACAGTGCCTCAAAGCCACACAGACGAGACTTAGGACCGGAGAGCGGAGGCCGGATTGCTTGGGCCCGTCAGCCAAGATTCTTATCGTTCGGTCAATGAGCGTTCGAGTTAGACCAGCCTCACTGCGTTCGCTGACTACTGGTCTTTGAAACCAAGTTGTGGGTACATGTTTGTCCGGAGCATCAGCTGATCACTATGTTTGTACCTGCTAATGCAATACTTGCTGCGACAAAGACATGTGCAGCCATTCATGTGGCGTGGTGGACAAGAGGTTCCAAGCCTCTCCACGCTTGGATGACCCACGTCGTTCGTCTAGCGTGCTAACCCCGCCTAAACCTGGTAGGACAAGCTGCCTATAACTACTCCCCCGCAAAGGCGTATCTTTGCTCTCTACCACCAACACTATCCGTGTTATCACATATACTTGAATGGGTGAAACTGTGCTACTTGCCGTCGAGGAGACTTCTCCTAACGTCGATGAACCCCCTATATGTGGTAGTAAGGATCCGCATACTGCACCAAACCAAAGGCAACTCCAGCCGAACCCCATCGATGGCGACACTTCGCCCACACTCCACGCTCCGCACACCCTCACCTCCGAGGAAGTTGCACAGACTCTGGGAGTCGACATCCAGTAGGGCTCACTGTTCATGCTCACCACTCGTGCTCCTGCTAACTATCGCAGCCATGGGCTCCCTCACTCTGAAGCGCAATCTCGCCTCCAGCTCTATGGCCCTAACAAGGTTAAGGGAGCTGAAGGGCTTTCCATGTGGAAAATTCTGTTAAGGCAGATATCGAACAGTCTCACCTTCGTCCTCATCATTGTCATGGCCATTAGCTTTGGCATAGACGACTACATCGAAGGCGGCGTCATCACCGCAGTTATCCTCCTCAACATCGTTGTTGGTTTCTGGCAGGACTACCGAGCCGAGAAGACTATCGAATCTCTCAAGAAACTCACCGCACCCGAAGCTACCGTCACACGCCAGGGCACAATGGACATCAAAGTCAAGGCCGTGGACCTGGTTCCTGGCGACATCGTCCAGCTCTCCGTTGGTAGCATCGTACCCGCCGACATTCGCCTCATCGATGGTGTCAACGCTTACACCAATGAAGCATTCCTCACAGGAGAGTCCGCTCCTGTCGAGAAGACACCATGGAAGACTTTTGACGAGGAAGACCTTGCCACTGGCGACCAGACCAACCTTGCCTTCTCCGGAAGTGAGGTGACATCTGGACGTTGCCATGGTATTGTAGTCGCAACTGGCATGAACACCGAAGTCGGAAAGATTGCTACTATGCTCCGTCAGAAGAAGGATGCCGGTCCTCAGTCTAGCAACATCTTCGTCCGAATTTGGAAGCGTTTCACGAACGGCGGTAAGACCATCCTAGGTCTTGTCGGAACCCCTCTTCAGATCACGCTGAGCAAGTTCGCACTTCTCCTCTTCGGTCTCGCCATTATCCTCGCCATCATCGTCTTTTCCGCAAGCAAATGGCAGGTTGGTGGAGAGGTACTCATCTATGGTATCTGTGTTGCCGTAGCTGTCATCCCTGAGTCGCTCATCGCAGTCTTGACGATTACGATCGCTGTCGGCGGTAAGGCAATGGCCAAAGCAAACGTCATTACCAGAGTCCAGTCGGCCATTGAGGCTGTCGGCGGTGTCACGAACATCTGCTCTGACAAGACTGGAACTCTCACCCAAGGTCGCATGGTCGCAAAGACGGCCCTCATGCGTGGCGCCGGCACATTCACCGTCGATGCCATCACAGACCCTCACAACCCCACCAGCGGAAACGTTGCTTTTGACGACCGACAGCTCAGTCTGAACGATTACAGGCCGGATGCTGTCGTCACTCGCTTCCTCCGTACCATTGCTCTTTGCAACAACTCCAAGGTCATACCGCCATCTGAATCCCGCGTCGACTCTCCCAGTGAGAAGAAGGCTGCGGCTCATGAGCAATACAACAGTGCTGATGATCGCGACACTGACGCGTCCACTATTGACACCATCTCACGACCACCCACTGCCTTTATGCAAGATGTAACGAACGGAGCCTGGACAGCGCATGGTGAGCCAACTGAAGTCGCATTGCACGTCCTCGCTTCTCGTTTCAACATGGGTAAGGAGAGTCTACTTTCCTCACTCAACATCCATCTCGCTACCGAGTTCTCCTTTGACTCCAAGGTTAAGAAGATGACTGTCGTCTACAAAGACAACCACTCTGGCCTCATGGACGTCTACACCAAGGGAGCAACCGAATTCATGATGTCGGCGCTCAACGTCTCGGATCAGGAAAGGGCCGAGATCTTGGAAGCTGCCGAGAGCATGGCCAACCAAGGTCTTCGTGTCTTGTGCATTGCTCACAAGACGCTACAGCCCGACACTGACATCTCGGAACGTGATATCGTTGAGGCCAACCTCAACTATCTCGGCCTTGTTGCTATCTACGATCCACCTCGCCTGGAGACCGCCGGTGCCGTCCGCGAGTGTAAGATTGCTGGCATCACGGTGCACATGCTCACTGGTGACCATCCCGGTACTGCGCGAGCTATAGCCAAGGATGTGGACATCATCGACGATCGTACTCCTGCCTCAGCCGTCATGGTCGCCAAAGACTTTGACAGGATGTCTGACGATGAGGTAGACGCCATGGAGACGCTACCCCTGGTCATCGCCAGATGTAGCCCAACCACCAAGGTTAAGATGGTGCAGGCTCTCCACAGGAGGGGCCGCTTCTGTGTCATGACCGGAGACGGTGTCAACGATTCACCCGCGCTCAAACAAGCCAACGTCGGTATGGCCATGGGCACTGGAAGCGACGTCGCCAAAGATGCCGCCGAGATGGTTCTCACTGACGACAACTTCGCTTCCATTGTGAAGGCCGTCGAAGAAGGCCGACGCTTGTTTGACAACATCCAGAAGGTATGCGACTTCGTTATTTCCCGTTCACTAAGACCACTTACTAACATTTGATGCTACAGTTCCTCATGCATCTTCTCATCTCGAACATCGCGCAAGTCATCCTCCTTCTCATCGGTCTCGCCTTCAAGGATCAAGACAACCACTCCGTCTTCCCGCTCTCCCCCATCGAGATTCTCTGGGTCAACCTCATCACTTCCTCCTTCCTCGCCATCGGACTCGGACTCGAAGAGTCGCAGGAAGACAGCATGTACCGGCCACCGCACGACAACAAGAAGGGTGTCTTCACAGCCGAGTTGATCACAGACAAGTTCATCTATGGTTTCTTCATGGGAGCACTCTGTCTCTTCTCCTTCGCCATTGTCGCTTACGTAGGCCCTGGTGGAGGTAACCTCGGCTCTGGCTGCAACGAAGGGTACAACGATACGTGTGAGGTGGTGTTCCGCGCCCGCGCGACAACATACGCCACTATTACCCTTCTTCTCCTCGTCACGGCCTGGGAGGTCAAGCACTTCGCTCGCTCGCTATTCAACATGTACCCCAACACTCCCTCCTCGGCCCCAGCCGGTCTGTCCGTCTTCACTACCATCTGGCGCAACCGTTTCCTCTTCTTCGCGGTCATCGCCGGATTGCTCGTCGTGTTTCCCATCGTCTACCTCCCCATCATCAACGAGAAGGTGTTCAAGCACGGTGCTATCACCTGGGAGTGGGGCGT